CTTCTTGAAAGTAGGCAAAGAACGCAGATGAGGCAGAAATAAATTAAAGCTTCAGCTTGCTTTATTGTGCTTTCGTTTAAGAATTATAGATTAACTAATTTATTTCCTATTATAGATATTGAGGTGGAATGGTATTCACTAATTTCTTTGTCCAAAATAAATTGTTTAGACTTTTCGATACAATAAAAATTAAAATATAATCATAGCTACCTACTTTTTGATACGCTTTATTAAAACAGTAATACATATGTTTTTCTATTTAATTTAAAAGCAATAGCCATGTTATTTTACACACAAAATCTTGTTTATACCTAATGTATATAGTTGGAAGAATGTACTGAATTTGACTTAGTAAGTAGTTGTCATGTTGTTACATACCCAATTTTAAATAAAGATTTGAAGCTTGGCAATGTATGTAATTCCAAACGAGGTAACTTACAACAACAAATAGGTACTATCTTACAAAATGCATAGATAAGTTTCCATGTCTATCCAGATACCTAGGTACGTACAGTGGTAAAACATTTCTACTTATCTTTAATCGGGTCTTTGACTCTATAAGACTACCCAACACGACAGGTATAGGTACATAATATCTACTTATCAAATAGAGTGAGTTGTTAAAAGCATTGCAGATGCTATATATAGAAGTCCTCATAACAAAAAATGTAAATACATTATGTTTTTCTCCTAGGTCACTGAACCCGCGCGAGAATATCGGAGTTTGGATGATCTGTGTTGAAGGCTTCCACAACTATCACCACACCTTCCCATGGGACTACCGCGCGACTGAACTTCCCCTGTACAACATGCTCACACCGACAATCGTGTTCATCGACCTCATGGCAAAGGTATGTACTCATTGGGCCCCTTTTAACAAAGTGTACGGAAAAATAAATAGGCACAGCCCTTACGCGGTCAGCCTAAGTAGGGTTGCCATATTTTTTGTAAAATTAAAAAGTTAATATAGCAATAAAGGCGGCGAAGTTTAAAATATCGCTGGCTGAATATTAAACTTTGGCAGCTCCAACACCGACCTGATTGTACGCTAGTAATAGCCACTTATTTCCTTGAACTATGCTGTTCGCAAAACTTTAACTTGGAACTTGTATAAGATTTTATGGGAGGAAGTTTTAGTTTTGGCACCGACATATCAAAATACCTATGCTTATTAAATATACTGCAATGGTTACTTATAATTAGATTTAGGTATATAATAGTCATATGTACAATCCATATGATTAACTACTAGATGTTAAAAATCAGATAAACAGTTTACCGTCTGAAATAACTTCAAAAAAATTAATAAAAGACTATATTTTTGCTCGGTAATAGTTTGTTTGTCAGTGTTGTGATCTTTAAATGAAGTAACTTATGTAAATGGTGAATCTTTCCTTTTTTCCGCAGATTGGACAAGCATACGACTTGAAATACGTGTCCCCTGAAATTATAAAGCAGCGTGCACACCGTACTGGGGATGGTACACATCACCTCTGGGGATGGGACGACCCTGAATTCACAGAGAAACTCAAAGAAAAATATGGCGCGGTCAGCCACAGTGAAGAAAATAGGAAGCTAGCTTAATTTATTTGTCGTTCCCCATTTATTTTTAATGAAGACTGTAGTAGACAATAAGGGTGATATTCGATCGTTTTGATATAAGCAAATATACAATAAAGATATGTACGAAAACTAACGTTTCATTTTGATTTTTCCATAAAATGAGTGTTTTCCTTGAATACTTAGTAACAAACCAACTTTATTTTTCCGCCTTGTATTATTGCCAAGTTACAATACAATTTGAACCCTATAAGCTCTATACATAAATGAGTAAAATGAAACAAGCTTGAAATCTTTTTCCAATGGTTCGCAGCTGGCACCATCGTAAGCGATAAGCGAAAATCGATATTGGCCTCTTCCATTAGTGAGGTATAATTAATGCAATGCAATCGTGTGCTTGCTAGTGGACTCCGCTACATAGCGACAGTTGTAAATAATAAATTAACCGCATCTTCACCGATAAACTCAACAAAACAGCTGTTCTGAAACTAGTGAGGTTACGTTAATTTCTTTCTAAGCAAATAGTAATTAGAACATTTTAAATAATACCATTTCGTAAAGTAGTAGTGAGATAACGTGAAATTCTCCGCAAACAAAAGCCCAGAGGACTCAAAGTCAAACAGAATGGGCTCAGACTTCACCCTTTTTGTGAAAGGAACATTATTTACTAACTTCTCTCACCCAGGGTAAAGTAAGAGGAGATTTCAATTTCTTACTGAAACTCTTCTTAATATCCCGTTCCATCCCTTGCTCCAAGCCGAGGCCGTGTTATGCAGAATATTCATCGCACTATTGTTAGGTACAGGTTCTTCACTCCTTTGTTGTCTCAACCATGACAGAAGAAGATGAGAGAGTTGTATTAATTTTACACAATTCCAACACCCTCATTAACCGACTCGTGGACCAACATCATGCTGGCTGGTGACCAATACCTTAGTTCCAAGCTCAGTCTTCTTGTTTAGTTCCAAGAGACTCCTTCTTACATCAATCTTAAACGAAGACATGACGGAGATTTCATCAGTATGATTTGTCATTTTCGTTCTCAATATGGATGTGAAAACTTTATAGATCGTAGTACCCGACCGTTTTTAGGTACCGTAGAACTACTTGATTAATAGAGCAGGTGGGTAATTCCAGTTGTCAGAAACTAAGCCATCGATTCAGCTTCTAAGGCCACCTGGAACAGCGCCAATAAGCAAATGTGTGAGTGATTTGATGAGTTAGTATTACACTATTAATGCCAACTATCTACACTTGATTAAAGCAAGTTTATGGAAATGGACCCGTTTTATTTGGAAAGGTGGAACATAGGTATATGAATAAAAGTTGTTTCCACATTTCCTTTGTGTTCGCTTTTACCGCTACCTATCCTTTCGAGCTGTTAAAATGTGTGATGTTGGGCAATTTTTATTGACAATTTCTACGATGTATGTAGATTCTGCACGCAAGCTACAATTTTTAATAACACTAGCAACATTTAAATAATCTTCAAATTCAAATGACAGTGACACAAAATTGACTTGTGTATGAATGACATTCAATTCATGTCAAGTCAACATCAACAAATAGTGAAACTGCGAAAATAATATACTAACAACGGAAAAGAAAATAAAGCATATTATAATTTGCTTTAAGCATTAGTAAATAATCCTATAGCTCTCCATAAGAAACCTTGAGATAATAAACAAGACGAGTGGTGTTCAATAAGAAAACATTCCTTGTAACTACCAAAATGTTATCTTCACTAATTAAAGAACATCAAGTAAAACAGGCTTCAAAAAGAGTTATACAAGGTAATTGTTGTAAATATCGTGCAGGGACTCTTGCAATATAGACTATACCCCTGTGTACAAATGTAAAAGTGTTTTTTTATATTCTTTGTATACTTTGTTATACACCAAGTAAAACACAAAAACTGGGTGTACAATGTGTGGTCTTCACTCAGAGAACCCTTATCGTATTGTATGATTACTACTTAAATGTGTTTTACACAAGATTGTAAATCAACTAACAAAACAGACTGTTTCTTTTTAATTTTTTCAGAACAAAAAAGGAAAGAATGTATAGCTGCAGCCAATGATTTAACTCAAGCACTTGTGGACCATTTAAATGTTGGGTGTGTATCCCTTTATTCTAAATATTATGCACCGTCAGTTGTCACAAATAATCTCTAAAATGGCCAATTATATTGCAGGTTGTTGGGTTTTCTTACTGATTTATCCCCAAATTTTTTATTCAGGTTCATTTCAACCAATTAAATGTTGAATTTTATTTTATATTGGAACAAATTCTATACAATATGAGTTAAATAAGTAATTCCATTTGTAGTGAGTTTACATTTCCTAATGTGATCCACCAAAAATAACTGTGTCTTCCGTCTGAGTGTGATCTGCTTTGATTCATGGATAAAATTTTAAATAACAAAACCTTTTTATTTGATTATTACAGGGTGGCCCAAGCATACTTAAATCAAAAGAAATTAGATGCTGAAGCAAAATTACTGCACCAGGGAGCTATTAACTTTGCTAAACAGACACAACAATGGCTGGCTCTCGTTGAAAACTTCAGTAGTGCTCTGAAAGAAATAGGTGATGTGGAAAACTGGGCGAGAAGCATTGAAAATGATATGAAGATAATTACTGACACATTAGAAAGAGCTTATGAAATGACACAAGAACAAACTACCAATGCTAGCAGTACTAGTACAAGTAACCAATAATGAACAATCATTTATAAATAGTAAAATCATTCCTGTTTTGTTTTTGAATATTATATATAGTTAAGCTAATGTATATTTTATTTGATGCAGATGATGTAAGAATTGTGTTTATAATCCTACAAAATATTAAATTAAACCACTTCTGTATCTGAAATACCATTTTTATTGAAAAATAAAAAATGTATATATAATTCTAATTTCATGGTATTCACACATGAACAGGTACAATGATTCCTATAATTATTTTTATGCTGTGTTTGCTAAAATCAGAAGATATAGAGATTCATGTAAAAGAACATAAGATATTAGAATTTAGAAATGCAAAAGATTTTAAGAATTGCTACGCCCTAACAGGGTAATGTAGTGTACTGGTTGTATGTTATACTTTTCATTATATTTATGCACATTGTGCAATAAGAATGAATAAAAAAAAGCTGAGATTGCAATCCCTAGCAGTTTCGATAATGGTATCAGCGCCATCTATACGCAGATAACTAAAAACTTTCCAACTTTCTTCAATTATTTTTGCATTTTTTTACTGAAATGCCTATTATAAAATTATTATCATTTAGCTTAGATACTACAAAGAACATAGAACTTATATTTTTTTACTTTGTAACATTTAATATTTACATTCGATAACATTTAAAAAAAAAAAAAAAAAAAAAAAAAAAAAAAAAAAAAAAAAAAAAAATTCGATAACATTACTGTCAAATAACTGTCATTAGGGTATATTATCACTGAAATTTCAAATTTCAATGCAATTACGTTCAGACCAAAAAGTACTGTGTGGTTGGTTCAGACGTTCACAATCAGTCATAATTTACGATGAATGAGTAGTCACAGCTCTTATCTTATCATTTGTCTATTTGAGAAATATAATTAGTTGTATGGCCGGCCGTGAACAGACATTAGTTTCATAATTTGATTCAGTCTCCAGCCTCGCCGCGGTCTGTGTCGCACGTCTGCTTGAGAGAAGTTCTATTTTATTGATTAGTTTAGTGAATATTCTCAAGGACCATGTCTTCTGATACCCCAAGAGTATTATCTATCCAAAGCCATGTAGTGCATGGCTATGTTGGAAACAAAAGCGCAGTTTTCCCACTACAGGTAACCTTTTTATCTTTAATTAAATTATTCAATATATTAATGCAATTTTTTTCAGTTTAGCTAGTAATTTTTTTTATTATGTTTAACTGAATTTAAATTTGCGGAGACTCCTGACTTACGTGTAACACACTAGTTTTGGATTTTACAATATTATTTCGTTGGATAAATACATAAATATCACATTTCCTGTTCCATGCGCGATGGATTTTTATTTTCATAAGGTCACTACTTTAAATCGTAACCTTCTATTTAATTATAATGTTATTTTGTCGCTCACGTTTTTTAACATATTTCCAAGAAACTTCAGTTTTATTTATTGACCAACAAATAATATTACAAGTCAATATAGTTTCATAAAATATTAGTAAAAAACCAAAATTCATAATATTTAATTTTTTGACTCCATGTTTGTCCATATTACAATAACTTGAAATGTTTTCTTCGTTTTTTATTTAATGAACTTTCAATGTCATATTAGAGACTACATAAATTTGTTCTCTCCGAATTAACCTTGAACACAGTGACAATGTAAAAGATTAAAAGAAATAACAAACAAAAACTTGTTTCCAAATGATAATGATAATTGTCATCATATTAAGTTTGTTAATTATTTTTAAACATTCAAGCCTAGGTAATGGTTGATACAGATAATAAAATTTATTATGCTAGGTGATTAAAAAATAAAATATTTTTTTAATGTGAAACTATTTTTCCAGGTATTGGGTTTTGAAGTTGATTCTATAAATACAGTCCAATTTTCAACACATACAGGCTACAAACATATAAAAGGGACAAGTTTAAAAAATGAAGAGTTAGACGAACTTATTGATGGGTTGACTATGAACGATGTGGACTATTACACCCATTTCCTAACGGGATACTCAAGATCACCTGATTCATTGAAAAAAATTGTGGAAATTCTGAAAAAGTTAAAGGAAAAGAACCCTAATTTAAATTATGGTGAGTTTAAATTTAATTTTGTACTTTTATATTGTGATGTAGGAAATGGAAATTTAAAAATGCAATATTGCATATGCTGAGTATACTAATAAACAACAGTATGTGACAACTGAGGAAGGAACCTTGAAAACTATACTTTAATGCTTACTACAGTAAATGTAATACTAACAATTTGTTAAACATATTTATACACATTGTAGATTGTGTGTAAATACACAAAACACCTCTTATTACAACATATCATTGAAGTGACACAACATTATGAAGTTTGAAAACAATTTTGCCACACATGATCACTTATTATTTACTGCTAACTAAAATTATTGACCTTACCCCACAACAGTTTTGAATAAAGTCAATTGTTGATAAATATAATAGTGTATTCTATTTATGTATTATCAGTTGTTGTAGGTATATAATATATTAAAACATCTAGTCAATCGAAATAGCTACAATGTATGAAGTTAGTTATAACTTAAAACAAAAAATGGTTAATGCTTTCTTATGAAATAAGTCAGCAATCGTCACCGTCCATAGACACCCGTAAACCAGAGCATTTACGAGTGCGTTGTCGATTTTTTGGGGATTAGGATTTTGGAAAGGAGGAGGGAAAATTTGTGTCTCTGGTAACTTCAGTCACACGGCGAAACACGTGATGTTTCACGCCGGTATTCTACGAGGTCGTGGTATCTCTCCGGTCGAGTCGGCCCATTCGAGCCGTGGTAATGATGAATTAATTATCATTATTGGCTTAAAGACTACTGAGCAAAGACCCTTAGTCAGTTACGCCGAACAAAACTGCCTCTTAATTTAAACACTATCCGCGACTATGACAATATAGTCATTCCATCCGTACGGCGCCCGCGCCTCAAAAAACTAATAGACCACCACAGACGGGGCCCTATAGGGCTGATGTTTAGCCGGGGTTGCAGGGTAAGCGCAATGAGGCACCGGAGGTTTTTAGTCAGTAAGAGTCTGACACTCTATATCTAGTCTTAACCTGGCCGAGAGAAGTCATTTGATCATTTTCCCCTGACCAAAAAAAACTGCCGGGGTTGCGCAGCGACCTCCACTGGATGAACCGAAATGACTTCTCTCGCTCCATCTTGGGCGGTAAGTCATTTGATGGTTTTCCTCTCACAAAAAAAACCCTTGCGGAATGCCTCAAAGAGCCATTAGACCACCATAGATGGGGCCCAACAGGGTCAATGTTCAGCCATATATAGGTCAAGCGCAATAATTTACATCGGCCTCGACCTAGAGCTGCAGGAGAAGGAACGAGGTGGTTTTTAGTCAGTAAGACTTTGACACTCTCTTTCGCCTCACCCGAGAGAAGTCAGCTGATGACTTTCCCCCCTCAAAAATCGCTTGCGGGGCCCCCGATTTAAATCACCATTGAACACCGTTTTTATAGCATATTTGGCTAGTACGTGCTTACTCCAATAAACAATGAACAAGACTAATTGGCCTTTGACCTTTCTCTGACATGGTTTTACGACATCTTGCGTCACAGACATGTGACTATTTACTTGTTGGTGAACGCTCAGATGTACTGATAAGAGTATTTTTATTTTAGTTCTTACCTAATGTTTACTATGACATATCTATTGTTACTACTTTATCTAATAGAAGTCTCAAGATGATAAATATTCTATTGTATAAGATTTTCTTGCAAGGTTATCTAAGTGGAAATGCATTTGTTATCATATTTATAACAAAACAGCATGAAATAACGCTATGCCTATGAATCATCGAAGCCCCAAGATAGGCAGAGGCGTAATTATAGAATCCTTACAAAAGGCTTTGTGATATTGGATTGGGGGCTCCCAATCCAATGTCAATCCCTAACCTCCAATAGGTTGGCAAGTTGCCAACCTATTGGCAACGCACTTACACATTGTTTAAAGTCGGGTCATCCGACAGTTCTCGGCTCTATCCCATTGAAATTAAAATGTAACACACACTGTGTTACATTTTAATTTCACAACTTTTTACAACTTTTCTCGTGTAACGAGCCCCTTGTGATATTGTTCACAATTTCTTTCAACCAGGTTTCGTATCTGTTTACTATAAAGTCCGGTTTTTTTGAAATAAATCCGTTACAGCAGTTAGAATCCTTTTGCTTAGCACTCGCATTTAATACCATCAAAGCAATCTTGTTAAAAATAATAGATATAAATGAAATACATAAAACTCTTAGGAAAGCCGTGGTCTCGCCTGGAGTAATACCAATTCCACGGCAGAAATACAGGCGTAAAGCAGCGCTGTGTTGCCGTGTGGGTGGGGTACCTACCGCGGCTGACTTTCCCAAAACAGTCACTAAAACCCTATCACCATTCCTGTAGGGAAACTGTCAGCCGCACCCAGAGTGCACCGCGAGAAGATCTTTTGGCACGCACCCTGGGGAAGGTAACTACCGCGGCCGACTTTCCCATATTGTTATTCCACCGATTGCTAACCACCTGCTGCTCCGTCAGTTTACTTGCCACCGTAGATCATAAAATACCGGGCATGGGGGATCAAGAGATATTGATCTCCGGCCGCCTCCGTAAGCGGAGGTCTGCGGACGGCGAGTAAAAGTAGCTGGTCGCCCGACCAGAACCGAACCGAAGCGAGGCGCATTGCGTTCCGCGCGCGCCTCAAAAAGCCAATAGGTAGATCACCACAGGCGGGGTCCTATAGTGCTGTTGATCAGCCGGGGTTGCGGGGCAAGCGCAATAAAGCACCGCGGCTTCGGCCTAAAGCAGGAGCACGAGCGGGGGGTTTTTAGTCAGTAAGATCAGTCCCGCCGCGTCGTGGGCGGGAGAAGTCATTTGATGAACTTCCCCTCACAATAAAAAATGATTAAGTGTTAGCAAAGCAGAGATGCATAGTTATTGTAACTCGGGTAACAATCGCACTTGTGATTGGATTAGTCACGATTGTTTTATGATAATGATGGAATTTGTAATAACCGTGACAATATGTAGGTATAGAGGTGTATTATAAACAGATATTTATGTCATTAAATGCTTTTCTTAGAAACAATTAAACAACACAAAAAGTCTAAAATTTAAAGTACTATTACCTAATATTCTTATAAGTAAAACTAATTGGTAGGATAGTTTTTATTGGTAGGTAATGTTTCAGGCGAAAGGAGATTCGTAGTAAAGTTGCACCTAAACATTTAGTTATCATGAATTTCTTAGCAAACATAATGTAGGTACTTATGTCACTTTGGAGTTGTCATGCTCTCTTAAAGGTCTTATTGGAACGGGCACTGAATCGTTCAATTCCGGCTACTATTTTATAGAAAAGAACTAGCTGGTCTTTAGGCAAGCCAACGCCGAAACTACCGAGAATTATTTTTTATCCGTAGAAACAGAGGGATTTCCACTACCCAAGTATGACAGCTAGACCCAAAAATTAAATAGCTTTTATTTTCAGTATGTGATCCTGTTATGGGTGACAATGGAAGAATGTATGTCCCCGAAGATATTCTGCCGGTATACCGCGACGTTGTCGTTCCACTAGCTGACGTCATCACACCAAACCAGTTTGAGGCAGAACTTATCACTGGACTAAAGATGAACAGCCTAGAAGATGCTTTGAAAATAATTGAAGCCCTACACAAGAAGGGACCAAAAACTGTTGTTCTGTCAAGCACAGAACTTGGAGACGAAACCTATATGATTGCGATTGCTAGCACTGGGGGTATGTTTTCTACAATATATAGTTTTAATACGATGTTTAAAATAAAAATTATATTTTAAGGTGCCATTACCACAAGGATAGTTTCGCTTAAGCGTCGCTCAGCGACAGCCTTTAGTTATTCACAAACTAGCTTCCGACCGCGGCTTCGCCCGCATGATATGTTGATAAAAGTCTTGTAGCCTATGTCCTATTCCGGAGTTTACCCCATTACCTGTACCAAATTTCATCCAGACCCATCGAGCCCTTTTGGCGTTTTTTTTTAAATAAAAAATAAATAAGATTTATAAAAATGAAATTGTTTCTATTTTATTCTAAAGGAGTGCAGTATCAGATCAATATTCCGAAGTTGGACGACGCATTCACGGGGACTGGTGATTTATTTGCGTCACTGTTCCTGGCATGGTGGCACAAGACCAACAACGACTTAAAACTGACCCTCGAAAACACGATATCCACATTACAGATCATTGTCAAGGACACTTATGAGAAGGCTAGAGGTAAGTCTTAAAAAAAACGTTGCCCCTCAAAATTCTTGGATTTTCTCCTGGTCCGTGTGTACAAACATACGATTTCACATATACATTATACAAAGACTCGGAACAACAATTTATGGATCACACAAAAAGTGGTTCCATACGGGACCTGAACCCTGAAAAACGTGGCGATTTGAAAGGTTACCTAAAATCTGGATATATATTTAATTCAAGTAAGGGACTGTTGCGATAACTATAAGGGAATGGGTTGAATAAAAAATTGAGGTTTATTTTGCGTTCTATAATGATACCTATTTATTTTGTTGACCTTATAAACATTTGCATTATTGAATGTCAACATTTTCATTTTCCTTTCGATAAAAGAAAAACGAATAGCACAATAATATTCACTATTTCTTATAATACAGTTTAGATACGCAGTCACTATTATGAGGAAAATGTGACAATTAATTTGCACACTTTAAACAATTCATTCCGCTTGCTCATTATTATGGGGTGAATTTAATAAAAAACATTATAATACTCTTCAAAATTAAACAACTACTTATTCGCAGGTTATTCAGTTAACCACCAAATCAAAGGTTGTTGTTTTGTGAGGGGAAAATCATGAAATGATTTCTCCCGCCCAGGTTCTGGTGGGGGGGCGTGTCAGACTCTTACTGACTAGAAACTCCCGCCGTTCCTTCTCCTGATTTAGGCCGAAGCCACAATATCTCATTGCGCTTACCCCGTTACCCTGGCTGAACATCAGCCCCATAGTCCCCCGTCTGACCCAACTAAAGACTGAAGTTTGAAATGACTTATCTTTTTTTTAAGTCGATTGAAAATTATAGTAAAAATGTTTTTTGGTTCCAGTTCATCAACCTACGGGTAAGATTTCGCCGAAACTGAGAGAGCTACGCATCATTCAGAACAAGAACTTTATTGAAAACCCCAAGGTTACTATTGTAGCAACAAAGCTAAGTAGTTAAATATATCTTAGTATTCTTTTTAGTTAAAACGGGATGCATTAGCTATGTGCTATAAATGTTTGTATTTTAGCTACAAGATTACGGTACCTGCGCTCTAAAGAGGTTGAGAAATTGAGAAATAAATAATTAATATTAACAAATATTTTAATAAATCATACTCAAAAATAAAGCAATATTATTACAGTCATAGAATGATCTTTATTGCAAGTTTTTATTTTTATTTAACTTGCTATGTATGTAGGTACCTATATACCTTATGTACCTATACCTAGGTATGTATTATTGTTGTAACATTTTGCAACACAATTTGAAAGCAAATATCTTCAAGTAATAATAATTCAGCTGCACTGTTGTAGGTAGCGTTGCCAGGCGTCCGGATAAAGCCGGACATAGGTAGGCTTTTTGTTTCTAGTCCGGCCAAAATAAACGGTGTCCGGCCTGTCCGGCTTTTGTTAGGCTTTTTACCTAAACTTTTCACAATCGCAAACGAAACACCAAACATGGCTGGAGTAAAGCAAAGACTTAGACTTTTTATTATTTCATAAGAATTCAACAAGATTTATGACTTTATGACAATAATCAAAATGCTTGATTTACATTAAATCTTGTCGTACCTATTAATACTGAGATAAAAAATCCTTAAGAATGTAGTGTGTCCGGCCTTTTTAGCTAAATGTCCGGCTAAACGGGCTGGTCTGTCCGGCTATAAGGCCTAACGACCTGGCAACCCTAGTTGTAGGTATACCTTTAGTTTACATGACCATAAACGCTAAACTGTTTGTTTTTACTCTAAATACATTTAAAAATGTCTCTTTAGGTGTTTAGTACCGGGACTTATTGAACAACCTGATAAAACACGGTTTTTAAAAGATTTTTTAATTTTTTGATACATTTCGTAGAGCTATTTACTAAATATTATATGTACTTATTTTAAAGACAATAATTTAGAATAGTAACTTATATCAAATGAAAGTTCAAAGCATAGAATTAAGAATGAATAATGTTATTCTTGTGAATGTCTATACATATTAGTATCTACACGTTATGTACTTATAGTGAATGCTATTGCTGTTAAACTCAACTTTGCAAAGACTGTTTAGAGGTTAGGCCGTTCAGTAAGTAAGCTTTTTAAATCAGGAAAAATTATATTATAGACACAACTTCACACGAATGATAATTCCTATATCTAAAAACATGTTTTTGAACAAAAAATAAACACTTACTTAAAAAAAAATGCGGTAGTTTCTAACTTTGACTAGTTTCTTCCGTACTTTTGTCCAAATGTCAAAAACAATACTCCTCTATGAAATTTGTATGAAACGGCAAATTATGACGTCTCAGTATTTATGCTTCAAATAGCTTACGTTTTTGAGATTCGAATTCAGTGTATCGACAGATCGATGAATAAAAGTATACCTAATTATTTTTCATTATTTGATTGTACTGAAACGACGAATTAATTTATTTTTGACCTAGGAAACTACCCAATTAGATAAGTGTCAATGACAAAATACTTTTGTGACGAACAAGGTCATACCTAATAGATTTTCGACGAGTAATACCTAATACTGACCGGTCTGTATCGCAATCTAATGACGATATTATGGCAAACAGCAAATAGAAATTACGTTCCATATTCAAATTTTCTGGAGATAGTGGCTTTAAATATTATTGGATTTTTCAACTACCAGTTATCTAACTTAAGCTGATTTTTCAATGGTTAGATAAAAGTTACCTAGGGAATAATGATGCTGTCGCGTCAGAATGTTTGTGTTAGACAGTGACAGCAAAGTTTACAACGCGGATATCTACTCCTAATTGTATTGTTTTGTCCTTCAAACAGTCTTTGCCGAGTTGAATATAGAATAAAATATGCTATATCATAGATTTTGACCAATATCGAATGTCTTCCATTGTGAAATTAAGTTACGCTTAAATTTTACATGTGATACACTTAATGTTATTGTTATTTTTGTATTTTGTTGAGTAGGTAAGCACTATTCGTGTTTTGTCCGACTAAAAGTGATTATTCATGCCATTTGCAATAAATAAATATTACTGTGTAATTAATTTTGTTTTTATATTTCCATGTAAGTGTTACATTAGATGTGTTGATAATATTATACTTAGATGTTAAAAATGTGTATTGTTATTAAATGCAATCTGAAAACTTCGGCATTTTTTTATAACATGACCCGACTACACAAGCCCTTTTAGGAATAAATTTTAAAATATTTTTTATTAGCACAAACTGAAAGTCGTTGTGAGTATGGGCATAAAGATGTGCGTAATAAATAAATATTTTACAAAAATCAGCACCTTCCTAAGCGTTTACTTTTTTTCATAGAAACCTTTATGCCTCGAGTTACGCTTCGCACTTTGGATACCCATCCAAACATTGTTGTAACAAATAACAGAAAAAACTAATTAAATTAGTCCAGCCGTTATTGAATTATACACATTTTCCGATTCATTTATAAATAAATATAAGTATTGTCTATATTTGTCCGTATTGGCGTTACGCGAGCTTTCTAAATAAGCTATTGCCCTTAGCGTATATAAATTATCATCCTAAATTATTTTCCTTTTCGCGGAGGGTTCAGTAAAAGGCTAAAAGTAAAACAACAAATGTTAAATATAAAGCAAGTATATTGTAAATGAAAAAAACAACACGGTACAATAATTTAGACGACAACGGTAGCATGTCGGGACATGAATCGTTCTTTATGCACAACTACAGCTCCTAGAATCAAAAAGAAGAGGACTACGTGGTACACCCAATATATTGAGTTGTAGTAGCGCAGTATCACGGTCGAGTCTCTCAGGATAAGGCAGGGAGTCAAGTAGGCCAAGCAGAACAGTCGCATTATCGAGAACCCAATGTCCCATGGGATCTTTAACTGTGAAATAATATTTAATATTATTGATTTATAACAGTTTATCAAATATCTGTTCGAAGACGATACTCGATTAATTTCAAACAGCACCGGAGCCCATAATCACGGCGAATCACGAACAGCATGCGTGACCAACGGACGCGGCGTCCATTTGATACTATACTCGGACTTTTAATTCCATTCCAGATTTGACAATTTCAGTGTTGCAACGTTATGACACGTAATAAATAGTGACGTTGCGAAATTATTCGATATGGAAATCGAATATTTCTGAATCGATTGCTCTCGTTTATAAATTTACTCTCGTAAACTAAGTTTATCAGGAAATAAAATATTTCTGAACCGATAATTTAGTTTTGACAATTAATTAACGATCTGAGACTTTTCTTTTGTAATTGTGTGTGAAATTAATAAAAAATGTGATCATGAAGGAACGTGACAAATAAAACAGACATTTTATAAATTGTCGCCGTCATCGCTATCGCTATTGCCGTTACTCTATGTAACATTTATTATGAATTGTGTCTTTGATATTTATTGTCAATTAACATATCTAGCTTACTCATTTTTTCCTCTTCTTTGAAAACATGGGATATACATTTAGACCATTCGGTAGCTGTAATTTCTTGAATGCCTTCCTGAAACTGATTCACTGATTGTTTATCGATTTTTGTGTTCATCACTACACTGTTATATGTGGTATCATTATTTCACAAAATGACAGTGGTCAATGTCAAATCAGGAATCGAATTAAAAGTCTGACTATAGTCGAATATTTAGTAAGCTGTACAACCTAAATTTTTACCAAGTAGTTGAGGACCTAAATATTTAAAAGCATGCGACACTGCGTGTTACACTGTTCTCAAATAATCGAATTATCTAAATAACGTACCAAAGATTTTTTATGTAAAACTGATTTAAAAAAAAGAGTACCTAACCATGGAGTTTCTTGGTCGTTGTTCTCCATAGGAATTTATACTTTGAAACAACCAAATAGCTTCACTAAGAAGACTGACCGACAGACTGACACTTTATATCTTAAAAATTTTGTTTGACGTTCAAAAGTGCCTGTAGCGATCTAATTAAGATTTGACTTTTGACTGTAAATATGTGCTCTCCCCCTGACAGTGTAAATGAGCAGTAGAACCGGCCGATGCTATAGCATAACGTTCTAGAATAGGCCACGAGCCGGCAAACGCAGAGCATATTACCTATACCTAATGCACTAAGATAACATTTCTCAAACAAGCTATAAGTTCATAACGACCACGTTGTAGCACAAACAGATAACAAACAATAAGCTATCTATTACGTGGTGTTTTATGACAAAATAACGTATGGGTATAGGTATCTCTATAAAATAGTTATATAAATAAGATATTGAGATATTGTTAAGTACCTACCTATATTAAATTTATATCTTAATACTTATTACCTACTAGGTATTAGGTATACGTGATAATGCGAGGTTAGATAGGTAGGTAGGTACCTTTTAATAACAGATATATCTATAAATACATACCTAATAAGGAGGTACCTATCTTATCTTTTTATCAACTTTGTGATCAGGTTGTTGTGCTTAATTTATGGGTAGGTATTTATGTTTTCATTGGGCAATACTGAAATAGGTGCCTATTATTTGCATATTGCAATATACCTAGATTAATTAAATACTTTATAAAAAATTAAAAAGTACCTATTTTTAAAACGTTTTACAACTTTTTCGTTCTTGTCGTTGGTGCGTATACAGAAAATCATATAAGTAGGTACAGGTCACACCCAAATCCCGAAAACCGGGAAAAAGTTTGTAACGAAGGGGGGAGGGGGGCACTGTATTGGGGACTGTTTTACCTAACATCGCTTCCTAGCAAAACGATTCTAAATTCGTCATCGGCATCATTACACTTAGGTATGATCGCGATCGTTGCTAAAAAACAAAAAATATAAATCTGTGGTAACTATCTACTACTTAGGTAGGTACACTACATAATTCACCTATATATACATACTCTACCAAATAAAATATTACCTACCAGCACATGCGTATCATACAAATCATCATATTCATTCTCTAAATGGAGGTGTACCCATAGAGTGCTGGATATTATCAGTTGCTGAAGTGTGGGCCCACACCAGACCGTCCACGCCAGGAATGACAGCGCGCTTCTGAATGGATAGACAGTGTCCAATAAGTATACATAATATATATTTAATTATTCTTCAATAAACATTGTTATTTGTTATTCTCAAAGGAAATATTTATCTAACTATTTAGATATTAATATAGGGCAAAAATATGCCACAAAGATCCTCTTTTGGGGACACCAAGATCTACGTAGTGTCTTGCAAACATCAGAAATCCAGACTAACGACTAAATGCCTGCATTTGGCGCTCTCTCTCTATGCTACCTCAGAATACAGAACAAACCAGAACCCGCGTTCACTCATAATTGCATGTCGTGTAATGTGTCCAAAAACAATACGTCAATCCCCCCGCCAGCCGCACTTCCCACCCGCGTAGTGTTGCCGACAGTGGAACAATTCCCTTGGTTTGGGGTAATTTTACAACAGGAGGGTAAGATATATTTTGTTGGGTAAACTAAAAAAATAGGTAAACTTACGATAAATGCAACAGACTAGTTCTTCACACATTAATTCATGGAGGTATCATAAAAGTTGACGATTTCTGACTGTGTTGTTACACCTACTATGCACAACAAATAAAACAAAGCTTAATTAAGTAAAAAGGTTTTATTGCGTTCCCTTTTGTTGGTTTAGTTTTTTATAATATGTATTGTGTTTAGACTCGGAACTAAAGATTAGAAGTCTACTTATTTTACTTAGTTCCTGAGATTAGCGCATTCAAGCAAACAAACTAACATTATAATTAATATAGATATACCTTAGTAGGAAATGCTGTTTTCAAACCACCTTTGTCATAAAATATCGCTTCAAAGTGATTTTTTTCCTAAATTCATCTAACCATGCTCTTTGTATGATTTTTATTTTCTTTGTTAGTCGGCAGGGAAACTCATATGAGATATGTATGGCTCCATAATGGACAAAAAAATAACTCACAACAAATAAATAAGTGGGTAAAATTTTTACCAAAAATGACAACACTCAGAAAATGGCCGCATCATTTTCATAGAAAAATAAATTGGTAAAGAAAATTCAATAATTAATTAAATATACTATTGCAGTCGATGCTTGCAGATGAAATGTAATCTTATCCACTTTTTTCGTAATTCTAGCCGCATTTTTACTCGTATAAATAACACAAGACGGCATAATGTAATTAAAATTGATACTCGTAAATACGTCACGACATGCCACGTGCCAAAATTGACTAATCGTAGAAATTTCATACTACTATAGTTGAGAGTGTTTTGAGTGACTTCAGTTTGAAGCGCGTTGACGCCTTCTGGTTTGTTCTGTATTCTGAGTATGCTACTTAGAACACGAGTCGTTAGCCAAAAGTGCGTGTTAAAACTTAGCATTTAGTACTAGCTGGAGTGTTCTAATAACTATAACTCCCCAGGATTGATTTATCAAAATATAATAACACTTCTTTATAATAATTATGAAACACAGACCTCACTTCCTTATTCGCTTTGGAAATGCCTTTGTATGTGTGTGCCCAGAACCAGTATCGAGTGGACATGTCCCAACATCTTAAAGTGTCTCTCATTCGAGGTCCGATCAACAACTTCTCGTTTTCAAAAGACCTTAGCATGGCAAAATTGTATTCTTGTTCTAAAGCCACTTGTTCTTTTACAGTTCTGAAATCACGTCCCTAGGTGAAATTAAAGTTATCTAATGTTCCAATTCATTAAACGCAGTTCAAAACCCTTCGAATGAGAATGGGAAATAGAATTATGATAAAAATTAAAACTGGGTATTGGGACAAGGATCTCTTCTTTAGGTAGGTGATAAATATTTTCAGTTTTGAGTACTTATATTTATGTGTAAGGTAATAACAGTTGATAGTATAACTAATTAATTACTACCAACGAAAGATGTCATCTTCATTCATCTTCATCATTCTTCAAATTTGAATGAGACTTATTCATGAGCAGCGTGCGCCTCACGTTGCGCAGATTAGTTGGCTAACAGTCCCATTGGGACTTGAAACTATACTCGGAATTTTAATTCCATTCCAGATTTGACAATTTCAGTGTTGCAACGTTATGACACGTAATAAATAGTGACGTTGCGAAATTATTCGATATGGAAATCGATTTTTTCTGAATCGATTCCTCTCGTTTATAAATTTACTCTCGTAAACTAAGTTTATCAGGAAATAAAATATTTCTGAACCGATAATTTAGTTTTGACAATTAATTAACGATCTGAGACTTTTCTTTTGTAATTGTGTGTGAAATTAATAAAAAATGTGATCATGAAGGAACGTGACAAATAAAACAGACATTTTATAAATTGTCGCCGTCATCGCTATCGCTATCGCCGTTACTCCATGTAACAATTATTATGAATTGTGTCTTTGATATTTATTGTCAATTAACATATCTAGTTTACTCATTTTTTCCTCTTCTTTGAAAACATGGGATAGACATTTAGACCATTCGGTATCCGTAATTTTTTTAATGCCTTCCTGAAACTGATTCACTGATTGTTTATCGATTTTTGTGTTCATCACTACATTGTTATATGTGGTATCATTATTTCACAAAATGACAATAGGTCATGTCAAATCAGGAATCCAATTAAAAGTCTGACTATAATATAGCTTTTCACAGTTAGGTAATTTATTGAAACTAATGACTTACTTTTGGCCCGGAGGTTAAGGCGCCCGCTTCTCATGCATGAGGGTGCGGGTTCGAAACCTGGCAAGTACCAATGTGACTTTTTCCGAGTTATATGTACTTTCTATGATTATTTAGACACCACTGACATACGGTGAAGGTAAACATCGTGAGGAAACCTGGACTTATAATTTCTAATTATAAGTTTGAAATCGCCAACCCGCATTGAGCAAGCGTGGTGATTAATGCTCAAACCTTCTCCGTGTGAGAAGAGGCCTTTGCTCAGCAGTGGGCACTTATAGGCTGATGACGATGATGATAAATGACTTACTCGACTAAGTCGTTAGTTTCAATAAAGTATGTCTTACGATGCCATCTTAACTGGTTTGTTTTAATAAAGCTACGCGTTGTGCGTGACGATTTTTGATTGATTTTGGTATGATGATAGATCTTTGAAACGATCGAAAACCCATTTATGTACAGACTGATTGGTGTACTATGGCGTGCTTCATCCAACAGTTATCTGAACATGGGTACAAAAATTCAATCTAACTTAGCCTACTTGTTACATCAGCATAGATGTCCTTGATATCATGAAGAAGGTATGTAAGCTACCTAATACCTTCCATAATGATAAGTACAATAAATTTGCACACGTTGTTGGCATTCGTTGAGAGTAAATTATTTCAATTTGCGTACCGTGTGCGTCTCGGTAGATATCATATGCTTGACAACATTTTATTTATCATATTGTGTTTATCAACAACTAGACATGAAATTAACCAGATCATGATTATTTGATTAAGTATTTTTAGAATATCATGCTAAGTAGCTATTTGTGGTAAAAATATCACAATGATGTAAATAATCATGATAAGTACTTACTTAAAATCGGTGTGAATGAATCCAATGTGGTTGGAAATGTACCTACTAGCAAAAACATGGTGTCTGAAATTAAGTGCCCTACCTACTACTACAGTTTTACCAATCTATTACCTAGTTAGAATTGGATTAACCTATCATTAGGCTCGCCTCCTGTGTCGTTATGTATAGGTAATAACATATAGGTACACATCACACCCAGACCCGGAACAACAATTAGTGGATAACACAAAGAGTGGTTTCGTGCGAGAATCGAACTCAGCCGGTTGCTCCGATGCCCGGACCACAGACGTTCTGATAAATACAATGTGATAGGTAAACTTACGCGAGCTGCAACAAGCTGTACCTAGCCGAGGGCCCATGTCCCGGCAGAGGTTGAGTCTTTGTAGGGTACACTCCAAACCCGGCCTCCGTATACACGCTAGTACATAACAAAATCACTACTTGGTACTGAAGGACGTATGCCAACATTTGGGGGATGTTGTACAGGTAGCGATAATCTGTCCCGTGTTTGAAATAGAAATCATTTTCGTAATACACCTGTAAATTCGTAAATTTATCACGTTTCCATTGTTAAGCAGTTTGGTTTGGTTCGTTCGTTCGTGAAATTAAGCTTGGTGTTTATTTTGGGTAGTTTTTCATGGACTTGATAGTTCTACTTTGCTTAAACCTTCTTTATTGGGCAATTCTTATGTCAGTCGAAATTCAACTAAACATATGTCTACCTTTTGACTTACGAGTACCTTTTTTATGAAATAGGAGGCAAACGAGCAGACGGATCCCCTGATGGCAAGTGATCGGCGCCGCCCATGGACATCTGCAACACCAGAGGAAACACAGGCGCGTTGCCGGCCTTTTAAGATGGAGCACGATTGTTTTTTGAAGGGCAGTTTGTACCCTCCTGGCTTAAAATGATACTTTAACTAAACTGCGGCATTGGATGGGGGGTTGAGCCTCTGATAACCTCACTCACTTGACGAAAAACAATGGAAGCGTTGCTTCAGGCCGTAGTATTAATTACTCCGGTCGAGCCGGCCCGTTCGTGCCGAGAGGCATGGCTCTCCCACGGCCATCCTACCTTACTTAGTATGCAGATTATCGTACCTGTGTAGGAAATTTGAAACGCAATATCAAATATAAAAGGCTACACACTAAAGCTTTTTTCAGTTTATGTTCAGTTATTATTCTACAATCGCCAAGAACTCCAAAAGGGGTTTTAAAATGTTCGTTAAATGTTTTCCATCGGTAATAAGGGCCTGTAAAACAAGAAAGTTTAATAAAAATGTAACAGAAGGTTTTTAATTAATTATCTATACTAATATTATAAAGGCGAAGAGTTTGTATGAACGCGCTGGTCTCCGGAACTACTGGTAGGAATTGAAAAATTCTTTTTGTGTTTGTTAGTCCATTTATCGAGAAACAATAGGCTGTAAAACATCACGCTACGATTTGTAGGAGCCGAGCAGCGAGTGAAACCGCGCGAGAGAAGCTAGTTATTAACAAATCGTAGATCTACACAGCGGCAGCTTCTACTGGGGATGTTGCTGTTTATTAGTCTACAATGTGGACGATCTATCAGAACACATTTCTTTACGACATTCAATTTTGTTACCATTAATAAGTGGCATAATTTACCTTTATGCAATCCGATAAAGTAATACGCATAAGAAATTATGTCTATAGCGGTGGGATCAGTCATTAAGGGTAAATCATTGAGTCGGTGATTTGAACCTTTAGATGCGACATCTGAATTTACATCTGGTTCTTTTGAAAGTTTGATAGCTTTCGAAGCCTGTGCGCCTTTCGCAGTAGGGGGCTGTCGTCTAGTTTTCTCTGCGAGGGTGATTTCAAATGCTAAGCCCACTAGGCGCAGAGCGATAGCTTGGTGCACCCACATCACATAGTACGTGAAATCGATGTTGTAAGTCATGTAGATTAGGTACAACCATGTGTAAGCTATGCTTAAGTGGTGAATATATCTGAAACATATGTGCAAATCTAAGAAAAAGTCATAAGAAGAATTTTCATTACGCTAATAAGTCCATTAGATTAATCAACATTCAATTTTTATCGATTTCTCAGGTGCCGCAGGTATATTCTTCTTTACCCTAGATAGGTAACTATAATGTATAATCCTACATGACCACAGAACAGTACAGAAGCAAGTCCAACAAAATGGATTACAATGTAACCCTCGCTTATAAAAACTCAACAATACAACCATTATTCCAACGGTTTATGCTGTGATAAAGCAAATAGCTGTTGCACATCTATTTAGTAAAATTGAAGATTTTAAACCCTCCTTCCCTCCCTTAAACGTAACGTTACATTTAAGTGACCATTAACACAATCCAGCATACAGGATTTATAAATTTTAAACAAAAATGTTACATAACGCATTGTTGAAATACCCCACTCTCCTGCTTGTAAAGCGACGTAAACTTTTACAAGCACCCTAAAACTTGGGTTACGTAATCGTTGAAACGCTCTTGGAGGTATTAATATATTAAGATGAACTTACAATTTGTTACAACACTTTATGATGATGATGTTTCCCCAGACCATAAGGACGGAGTGCGCCATAGATGGTCCACATAGCATACAAGTGATGAGTACCCCAAGCCCAGTCCCATAGTTGCGCTTCGTGTTAATATTTTCAATCTTCTTATAATATCCACCCAGAGTAATACATACTAACAGAGACCCGAAATATATTACGTCAGAAAGTGCGAGCATTTTATTCCTTGCTTACAAGATAACATGTTTGATGTTTTAATTTTGTAATTGTGTATTTTGGTGTTTTGTAATTTTATTGTTATTCCTGTTTGTCTGACACTGACAAGTTATGTCAACAAGACAGATTTTTTTCAATAACTGTTTTTTTAACAATCATTAACTGTTTTTTACAATTGGAGGTTTTAAGCATTAAGCCGTATAAAATACTTAATTATGTATTACAAAATGGTATTATGCTATTTGATTCTGTGTGCATTTGTGTGCTTGAGGGTGTCATTGAGTTTTAGGTAAAAATTAAAAGCACAAATTGATTAAATAAACAATTTACTACACATAATGTAGGTTCACAATAAAAATATTTTCTAACAGAGGTATGTAACAGTTTGTCTGATGCAGACATAGCCGGTGCCTAGACAATACAATTTAAACTCTGTGTCAGCGCGAATAAGCATTCTATTAGCATCTCTCAATATATCGGGCGAACAATATTGCACGCAGTAAATAAATAAAAACTTTTAAATGCATCTTTACCCACAATTATATCTAATTTGGCATACCGGAATGTTGATTATCCCCGAATACTTTGGCCTTCAAATTCATAAAGGATTTTGCAAATGCAACTCAAGTTAATGTTTTAACGTGCTAACTAATACTACGTCTCATAGCCAATGCTCCATGCTTGTTTTCTTACGTGATTCAATAGTATAAAGCGGTATATCGTTACGCGAAATGGCGCTGAAGCTCGTTCTAGATATATTTGTGTATGAGAAGAAAATATACCAGGAGGAAAGTACTACTGTCACAGATACATCTATTCTATGCAAACGTTTGAAACATATCACAATAGAAAGATTTTATCAAGAAAACAACTAACCTATAATACTGCTTAGCTATAATAGCTATTATATTATACATATAAATACTTAGTTTCATTAAAATCAATAAATGTAGTAATTATTTGACTAGCATCTAAATTCTATAACAAAACGATGTAATATATCAGTTTAATTTTATTCAATACGCGTCACCCGCATGCTAAACGCTAAACTAATGCGTACGTAAATTTGTAAGATTAAGAAGCGAAGCAATGCTAATGTATATATATCTAGGTACATAATATTCACCGACTATACTACCACTTGTGTTCAAATAAACCTCATAAATTCGGTATCGGAAGAGCATTAAAATTAACGAATCGAGTTGAAATTCACATTTCACCCTGATAACCACGACCTAAGTATTGCTCAGCTTCTTAAATTATCACTTATCATAAATATGGGAAATCATACTATATAATATTAATATAAGCCTATCAAAATCATGGCAACGAATATAACACCATCATGATTACAAAATAAACTAAATCTGCATCAGACTCAAAACAATTTTATAACAAAAAATTTGCATTGCTATACAATTATTATAAAAACATACACAACATACAAATGTCATCGTGGCCAGGCCATAATAAATCGTCTATGGAATAAATACTAACTAAAATGGTTCCCACATAAATTCATGAACACTGAACATGCTTTAATAATTGTATTCCTTTCATAATATGTGTGTAGTGCATCTGTTATAGTTGCTAACACCACGCACTAAACATCTAAATATTGCCTTTACAACTATTGTTATTAATCACACCTAAATGTTGTTAGAAAAGTATTGCCTCTAAATATAATATATGAAAAAGAGATTTTTATTAGATCTACTTACATTTCCTTCTATTTATATTAATTGTACGAGCAAACTCGTACATTTTGTATTGTTTAGTAATAATGCTGACGTTTGCACTTACGATGCTGAGCATCGCGCTCCACTTGTCGATAATGAAATTTAGTACAAATAAATCCGTGTAGCTGTAAACATTGTTTAACTTAATCAAATGCCCTAACTAGGGACGCGGCGCGGTACTCGTGACATTTTAACATTAACAAAAAAAGAAGTAAGGTGAACACCGTACATAAATAATGTTGAAACTTAATGAACAGTTGGTTCGGAACACAACGGACAAGTGTTATATTAAGTACCGTTACAATAAATAAACAAATCGTTCCGCGTTACGTTACATTCAAGGAACTAGTTGTAACTGTGAGTTTGCGCGTAGAGCCACCGGAGACAACACAAACCTAGCTCATACAACTTCCCCACCTGTGTGCAATTATATTATCAGAGTCGTAACCAAAGTGCTAGAATTTCTAATTACGATATAAATCGATTAATTTCAAGCTTCTATATTATACGCACAACGAACAATCCAATTGCATTAAAATTGTCAAGACTTTCACTAATTTTAAATTTAACCGACTCGTTACGTTTTTATTACTTTTTACTTTATTTAATATATTTTTTGATCTATTGCACAAACACATATAGGTAGTCGCTATGCTTATCTACTCGAATTATAAGTTATTAAATTTTTACAATACCTACCACAGAGTTAAATACAACATCCAGAACGTTACGTTAATAATTACAAAATTCAATCGGTGCAAACGATTACAAAAGTTACTATTTATCCACAATCAAAAATCACTGGAGGTAAACGAAATATATATTTATATACCGTACTTTTAATTTGATCGGTCCTATCACATTAATTCGTACAACAATAAAATGCGATCAGCATTCATTTATTAATAATTGGCAGTCCTAAAGAGTCACTAAAAGTTCATCGCGCTTCGGCCGCGGGGCGGGCCGGCGCGGGAGCGGACACTGCGCGGGTACTGCGCGTATACTGCGCAGGTACGGCGCGTGTACTGCGCGTGCAGTGTGTGGGCGCTCACTTGATGAGTTGCGCCGCACTCTTGGAGCGGCGGAACATCTTCGCGCCCTTGTTGGGCGCGGGAAGCTCATGCTAGTTGGTCCCGTTGGGCGCCCGCGCCAGGGCGGGCGAGGGCTGCGGCGCGGGCGCGCGGACCAGCGCCATGGCGTCCTTGGCGCCGTCCGTGCCGTAGATCTTGCCCGCCTTGCGCGCCATCGACGCCAGCAACTCCTGCGAGCATTTGTGTGCCGACCGCAGCGACAGCGCCCACTCCTTCAGACCGATTTCATCCTGCAAACCAAAAACGAGGGTTCAATAAATTATGAAACTCTGGTACAGTATTCACTTGTATTTCAATATACTCACAGTATTAGTGAGCACGATTTTGGTATCGTTTCTAGTCCGCAGGACGATGCATTGCTCGCCCTTGATAGACACGAGGTCTGACGAGACCTCCTCCACGGAGTCCAGTAGGATCATTTCAGGCTTGGCACTGTTCTCCAGGTGGAGCTCCAGCCGGTTGGGGTAAAGCTTCGCGTAGCGTGTCTGCCATGCACTTGCGAAAGGTCCGCCCAGCTTTTTGATGTATCCATGCAGTATGCAGTCTGATTCTGCAAAATATCAAATGTTTACATAACAAGAAATATACACACGACATTATCACGTAAAACAAAAAAAAGTTAAAAACCTGTTAAACGCGAGGCGAACTGGTCTTTTATTGATACGTATAACACAATCAAGAATTAAATCAAGTTCCATGAGTACAAGATTTTCTTGTTCCGTTGGAAGCACCAACTTCACATACCATCTTAGATCGTAATTTATGTTTGAGAATTAATGGGATACATTTTGTTATTTAGTGATAAATCGACCATATCGATCTTATTTAGTCATAAGCGAGCAAAACCTACGAGTGACCAGGAGGAAAAGCCAAAGTCGGCACTAATGGCTCCACAAAAAACCGTAACTCCTTTGGTGTTTCGGGTGTCTAAGGGCGGCGCTGATTGATAAAAACCCGGTGAACCAACTCGTAATGCATATTTTTTTTAACACTAATTCGTTTACTACTGCCCTACAAAAAGTTCCTTCAAGCCGGTTTGTTGTGCATCTATAGTATAATTTCATACCTTTTTCATCAGCATCGAACTTCTGTTTCTGCTTGGCCTTCTTCTTCTGTTCCATTTTGTCGGCCTCCTGGTTGATGGTCTCAAACACTGTCTCCGCCACCTCGGACTGCCAGCGCTCCGAGATCACCAGCGGGAAGTCCTTATATTGCATCTGATCGGCTTCCGTTAGCTGGGGATTTGCAATGTTTAATATGAACCTTTTTGTTAATTTATAGATTAATCCCTATTTTCCTTGGTTAGAGGTTGGAGCATTACCCGAAAGAACGATTTGAATACTTCTTAATACACTAACCTTACCAGGCATAATGTGCAGGAAAAAATTGACGAGAAATTCGGGAAATAGCCAACGCTTTCGCCAACAGTGGCGGTTCGTTAACAAAACAAATAACTGACACAGAGGTTGGTAGTTGGAATTTTATTGTTTATTTAGACTTTACTGACTTTATCTTGAAGAAAAACATCGTAAGGAAACCTGTACGTATACCTAATTTCTAATTATAAGTTTAAAATCGCCAATCCACCTTGAGGAAGCGTGGCAGTGGTTGCTCATTCCTTTTCCGCGTGAGAAGAGGCCTTTTCTTAGTGGTACCTACAGGCTGATGATGGTGTACAGTTGAAATAAAAGTTCCATACCTTGATACCCTTAGTATCCTCCTCATCGAAGCTGCCAATATCGAAGGCGTCAGCAGCGTTGACCTCTCCTCGCGGTGGGATTAAAGGCGGCGTGTATTTCTGGTGGTAGACTTGCTGCCAATCGATGCCAGCGAAGAACACATGCTCTTTCACTTCATCGGCACTGGAAGTTGAGAAATTAAATGACTAAATTAATTTCATTATCGAATCTAAAATCCAAAATAACAAATTTTGATGATTTTTATAATAACTATCGTGAGACATACTAAATTAACTAAAAATCGCGGGTTACTCACGTGTACATATTGAGAAACGTGTTCAGTAGGCTGCGCGACGTCGTCGCGTCCGCGCGCACGCTGCTCATGAGGAAGAACCCCTCTGTGGTTCGAAACTAGTAGAGCTTTTCTCAATATGTACACGTAACCCGCGATTTTTAGTTAAATTTTGATGAATTTATTTTTAATATCATTTTGTTTATCATAATTCATACTGGAAGTCCAATCCTTCCCTAAATCTCCAATCTCTTAATCCCCAAAAGGTCGGCAACACACTCGTAACTCCATGGTTGTTGCGTGTGTCCATGGGTGGTGCTTACCATCAGGTAATCGGTATGATTGTTTGCCGACCTATCACATAAAAAAAACATTAACTTCTTACATATTTTTTTCACGTACGCATTTACGCGTATACTAAAGTACTTAAACCTAATTGTGGATGTAATAATAAATCATTGATTACAAGATTCAGTAAGATCACAGTTACAGAGTGACTATGGAGTTTTAAAAAGAGTGACGATGGTGTTTATTGCTCGCTCTTCTCCATTCCAATCGAATCGTTTTGGAACGAGCACCTAGCTTCACTGACGAACAGACTGACAGACTACTTCTCTAATTTGACGTTTCAAAAGTACCTATTTATAGTTTAGTTGGAATAAATGTAAGAGAAGAGGAATAAACCATGATGGATGAACAACGAGTAGACAGTCATAGTCTTACTATAGATTTCTTCGCATATTTTTTATCATTAAGCTATAACGAAGCATGCCTGCCAATGACAAACACCTTTAGTTATAGTTTTAGACTTACCCCCTTCCCTTGCATCCAAGCCGCTTGTTGATGTCTCTCTGCAAGAGCCCTTCTAGTAAACTCTTCAAACTAGGACTGAAAGACTCTGGAAGCTCCACATTCTGGAATATATCGTAATTCTATTGCAGAAATGATTCCATCTCTTACTTTATACACAGAAATTAAGAGTAAATTTACTTGTAAGTGATTTGTTAATATGAATTATTGGGGGGGGGGGGGCTAATTAATATCATCGTGCAAACGTTCAATGCAATGTATTATGAATTTTTCATGAAATTAATTCATACATACATATTAGTAGATAGAATTTCATATATAAATATAGTATTAGTTGAATGAAGAGCCTAAAACTCTCAATTATGAATTTAAATTATTGTACAGATGCTGATTATCATATGCTTTTTGAATAAGAACATGACTTCTAAGGCCGTAAGGATTTTTTTTCTGTATCATGTACATACATACGACACCTATAACTATCGCATCAATTTTTATATTACACAATAGTGTGGGAGTGTCAAGCTTCGGCATAAATACCAAAAGCCTCGATCGGTGTGATTTGTCTCGCCGGCCGTGTGACTGAGGATACTGGAGGCTCAATCCTCCTCCAACCAATATTAACCAATCGTCAAATCCCTCAAGTAACCTACAAAAAGCCAGCTACACACTTCAGTCAGAGATCTAAGGGTGTTTGTCGACTTCTCCCATATAAAAGTTTTATGTGCCTAGCTACGGCATCACACAGTCAAGTAAAAATCAATAATTATTAAAGTGATTGGACAAAGAACAGTATGATATACTGGCATCTGTTAATTGCATAATATAACCAGTCTATAAAAGCCCACGACTGAGCTAAGCCTTTTCTCACACGGAGAAGGTATGAGCACACAACGACTGCTAAACCGAGTTAGCGACAAACTTATATATAAATTATAAATACAGATTTCCTTCACTACACGTCAGTGATGTTTCAATTAATAATCTTAGCACCTGCACTTAGCGTAAAATATCAAGAGTATAGGCTCTTCAAAGATGACTATAAACATTAAGTTGATTAGCTATAAACATTTAGTTGATTACAAGTATAAATATTAAAGGTTATAATATATCATTAGGCGAACTGTATATAAATAGTTAAGACTGTTAAGATAAATAAACGTTGCTTAGTTCGGATTTTGTTTGTTCTTTTCCGTTCCCGGGACCACAGGATCCCGGACCTTTGGAAGGCGTACGAGGAGCCGAAGCCAAACTCGTAGAGGCCAGTAGAACAGTTTGAATTTAAATGGAACGACAGTCGGCAATTATCTCTGCATGCACTATAGAAGTACACACATCGATATTCCCGGATTGAAGCAATTCTATAAAGTGGTAGCAAATAATAATATGAGCATGGAATACCAAAATAATGATAAGAAAACTATAACTACATGTTACAAAACAAAGTCGCTTTTTCTGTCCCTATGTATCTTTAAAACCACGCAACGGATTTTGATGCGTTTTCTTAATACATAGTGATTGTAGAGGAAGATTTAAATGTAAAAAAAACCTTTAAACAGTGGAGAAATTTAGTGCCAGAATTGCATCTATGCGAGGCCAGATCGTCCTGATCTAGTTAACCAGTTGTTAAAAATAAATAAGTATGATTCATATGTTTGTTTGCCTGATGATTTGATACTTTAAGAGCACAAATAGAGGATCGGGCCGAACCGTCACTTTTTTGTCCGCTCTAGAGCATACGCGATATGGTGTTCCGTGTGTAACCGCGCGTCTGCCGAACCAAAGTCACGGTACCATGACTGTTGGGTTCGATCTTCTGTTTGTGCTTTAAGACAGACAGACAGACAGACAGACAGACTTCTATTTTTATTATTTAATTCAATAGCGCTCAGATACAATCGCTTTTATTAATAGTTTAAAATATTTTTCATCAAACCCCAAGCGAACGCGTTCGCGCTACTATTGTGTCTCGAATTACCATGATTGAAAGGTGTGAAGATATCCCACGTTTATTGAGCAATTCCGGAAGTGTACAGTCGAAATCCCCCTACCAGCATCTTGCTGAAGTACACCGTCCCCTGTCTCATTTACTACTAGTTTTGCAGATGGGAGCATGAATTAGGCAGTTTTTATCCGTCTGTCTATTTAGAAGGACTAGTAGAAGATAAAGCACAATACCAAAAAGTATAAAAAATCAAAATTGTGGTGTTGTCACTGCCAAAAAAACTCAATCCTATAATTATAGGATTTATTAAAATAAATTACATGAACTTAAATCTGTTCTCAAGAGGTGCTAGTATACACTATGAGTAGACAGATTCATAACTACAAAGCTAAAGAGTCTATATTCGACAGTGGCGCCACCACAAAAGTAAAAAAAGGAAATTAAAGTGACTACGAACTAAGCAACGTTTTATTTTCCTTAACAATTTAAATTTTGATACATAAATATGCGAGTGAGTGAGTGAGTGTGAGTGTGAATGAAATGTGTCAAAGTAATATATGTGGAATATTACCATAGTAAGGGTCATCCTGTCGATTTCATGTTTGTCCTTGGTCTTGTGTTGGCGGAATGGCGAGTGTCCCTTGAGAAGCTTGTACAACATACAGCCGAAGCTGAACCAGTCAGCGGAAGAATCGTAGCCGGTGCCTTTGGAAAGAACCTCAGGTGCCATGTAGCCGTGGGTACCACTGAAGATAAATGAAACATGTGTTTGATTAGTATTTATAACTCAGTTGATATTCACTAGATATTTAAAACTTTTATGTGTCTGTAATACATAGCTCTGTATTAGCTACATTTAGTCACAAAAGTGTGAGTAAGGTTACTGGAGGCCCAATTCCTAAATCTCCAAATCTCTAATCCCCAACTGGTCGACAAAGCATTCGTAACTCGTCTGTTGTTTCGGGTGTCTATGGGAGGCGCTGATTGCTTACCATTAGGTAATCCGGCTACTCGTTTACTGACCTATTACATAAAAAAAGAAAGGAAGTATTTCAATATTTGATGGACGACTTTGCAAGCCTGGTCCACAAAAAACATTTATTTTAAGCAATTAATTATCTCCTATATGTGAAACATTTAAAAGAAACCTTTGAACAATCTTGTGACGACATTACTACACTGTTATTAATCTAATAATACATAACGTGTTAATTTTAGTTTTCAATAGGATTGTGATTTGTATTAACTATTAATATCCGCAGGTTTATAGGAGTCCCCGAGTTTATATTTAATTTATCAATGGCGGAAAAATAAAATTATGAGGATCGAAGGTAAATGAATTCGTACCATTTTACGTCCGTGACGCATCATTTTGTAGCAGTGCACCATTAAATGGATAATAATATCAGGTAACCTTTTTGGTGTACAATAAAAAAAAATTGTAAAGCATTGATTTACTTCATAACCTATTTTCAAACACCTTACCAAAAACAATACAAGAGCTTGTTGAACTGCACTAATCATCTTAGTAAGACATTCTGGATCATCGTAGAAACCAAGTATGTACACAACAACTCCATAACGCTACTACAATTATTATTCAAGGCGATTTCAATAATTATATTATCATTGGATAATATAATTATACATAAGAGAGCACACAGTTGACAGTATATGCAAACGTCCCAATTAAAACAATTAGCCTGCATTACGTCAATTGATTCCTAAACAAGAGCATTAAAGGCGGTTGTATTGACTATAAATATGTACTATTATCCTCAATTACTACGTATCAATCTATGATCACGTGTTGTGCCTATTTAATTAATAAACAAATTGATTAGACTGTCGACCATTAATTCTTAATGAAAGTGCTAGAAATTTATAGATGTTTGAAGCAATTATTTGAATAAGTAGAACTAAGAATTGCATTTTAAAAGAAATGCCAACAGGAAATAATATAACTTACATGTATATTATCTTCCTTATTTTCATAGTAACAGCCAATAGATTTTGAATATCCACTATGCTAGAATTGACCTACATAATATGTAGCATGCGCACCAAAGCCGAAATAGCAGGGGTGGCGTTCTGCTACTAGGGAAGACAACGATGACGATTATAAAACGATGTTCAAAAACTCCACAGAATGTCAACAGCAAATACAGTGCATACACGTACCTTGGACTGCTACGACACACGTTGAGCCTTCCACCTTCGATGATTCCAAGGGCAGGAACACAGGAATTCCGGGATGCGAGTTTGAGAGTCACGCGCGAGTGAGAAAGATCGCGGTGATTTGTTCAGGATTCGGATAAGAGACGTTGAGCGCGAAAGGAGATGTTCTCACACACGGCTTTTGAAAAGTGAATGTCGTTGCTCCAACTTTTTACGAGTCACGGTACGCACCACAGACTATATAGGGTCTGCGTTTCGCTGTTGCAAACTGATGGAGCATTGAACATCGATTACTTGAATTTGGAGAATTACGTTTAGTTTGTATGATGACGGAACATCCCGCCCACCAAAATGGCTATGGCATTTTCTGGTTAATGAACGATAAAATTATAACATTAACTAAAACTTTAATAACGGTACGTTAAATTAAAACTAAAATTGAAAGTTGAATTAAAGCTATGTCAAGAGTTAGATTAAACGATTTTAAGCTATTGGCAGCGGGCATAGCTTCACCAACGGTCGTTGTATTATATGATTATTTGCGGTTTTAACAACTGCGATCCGAACTACCCCATCAGATCCAGGTAAGAGATCTACCACACGAGCAAGAGGCCAATGTAATGGCGCACGATTGTCGTCCTTGATTATCACCATCGAACCTACTTGTAATGGTTTGGAATCTCTGGTCCATTTGGCACGTTGCGTTAAAGAGTTAAGATATTCATTTTTCCATCTGGACCAGAAATTCTGATGAAACGATTGTAACAGCTGCCACCGGTGAAGCCTATTAGTATTGACTTGCGATAGATCTTCATCAGGGACAGTGGTTAAAGGTTCTAATGTGAGGAAGTGACCTGGGGTCAAAGCTGTTAGATCGTTAGGATCTGAGCTAATCGGGTACAACGGTCGAGAATTCATAACGGCTTCGACTTGAGTGAACAGAGTTGTGAGTTCTTCAAAAGTAAGGACCTGATCACCAACGATACGTAACAAATGAGATTTAGCTGCCTTGATTTGAATTTCCCACACTCCGCCGAAGTGTGGAGCCGAAGGAGGATTGAATTTAAAAGTTATTTTTTCTGCATTAGATGCATGTTGCATCAGAGTCGCTAATTGATTGCTAGCACCTACAAAATTAGTCCCACAATCCGCGTGTACTTCATTACAGCGACCACGTCGCGCTACAAAGCGTCGTAATGCTGCGATAAAACCGTCGGTACTTAAAGTAGAAACAACTTCAAGGTGCACTGCTTTGGTAGCAAGACACACAAACAAACAAAGGTATGCCTTGTCTATCTTAGCACCACGGTGTGGACCTAACTTTATACGAAATGGGCCACCGAAATCAACGCCTACGATGGAGAACGGTTTGACTTGATTTACGCGATACGCGGGCAGATCGCTCATAAACGGTTGAAGCGGTTGCGGACTAACACGGTAGCATCTAATGCATTTTGATAGGCACTGACGTATGATACGCTTAGCAGAGATAATCCAAAATTGTTGTAAAAGTAGAAAGTGTGTCGTGTTTATACCTGGATGTAGATAATTACGATGTATATAATCTATAATTAAAAACGTTAATGGATGATCCGACGGTAAAAAGGCTGGATGCTTATGTTCGTATTCTAAGCCCGCTCGCGATATTCTACCGCCCACCCTGAGTATTCCTCGACCATCGATGAACGGATTCAGTTTACGAAAATATTTAGGTATGGATTTCTTATAGTTTAAATTTAAAATGATTTCAGAGAATGTTGTCTGTTGTACATGTTTGACTAAATGCATTAACGATTTATGTCGCTCAACGTTATTTAAGAACTTGCTTCGATTTGCTGCAGCTGGATTACGACAGTTTGTAATGAAACGACGAACAAACGTAAGTATGTTGACTAATTTTTGTAAGGATGAGAATCGATTTATTAACTTTTCTATGATTGCTTCTGTCTGAGACTCACCATCTGCGCGAATAGTTAAAGTCACTGTTTTCCGAGCCTCAGCTCGCACGATTGACTCCTCGGCGGTAGTGAGCTGTGCTGGACGATTAGTGGAATTGATCGGCCAATTAGTTTCATCATGTGATAGCCACCAGGGCCCCGCCCACCATAACGAGTTGACTAGAATTTCACTCGGAAATTGACCGCGCGAGCAGATGTCTGCGGGATTATCGCCGGAGGAGACATGATGCCAGCATTCCATGGGTGTTATATCCTGGATATGACTGACGCGATTAGCGACAAACGTAGCCCAGCGCGAGGAGGGCGAACGTAACCATGATAGAACGATGGTTGAGTCAGACCACATAAAAACGTTATCGATTTTAATTTGAGAAAGATAGATATCACGTACGTATTTATATATATCTGAAAGAAGAACCGCAGCGCACAATTCGAGCCGTGGCAGTGATATACGCTTTAATGGAACCACGCGAGCTTTAGAGCATACGAGGAAAACGTTTACGCGACTAGCCTGGACCACACGCAAATACACTACTGCTCCATATGCGACCTCAGAGCTGTCACAAAAGCCGTGGATTTCGTATGATTTAGCGTCTGGACAGGTCAATTTACGAGGAATTTTGAATTGAGCTAGCTCCGGCAGTTGGTCACGATAAGTGTTCCACGTTCGAATGACGTCATCAGGTGGAGTTTCATCCCAGCCTATGCCAAGAACCCATAGCTTCTGTATCATACATTTCGCTTGGATGGTGATTGGTGAAAGAAAACCCAATGGATCGAAGATTCGAGCGGTTTCGCTTAAAATTGAGCGTTTCGTACAACGCCGGACGGACGACTCTATAGCGAAGCCAAAAATATCTGAGGATGGATCCCACTGAAGACCCAATATTTTCAAGGTGGAGGTTTCCGTGTTGTCGAATGACACTGCCCCAGCTAAGCAATCCTTACTAGGAAGATCCGATAGAAGAGGAGAATGATTACTAACCCACTTTCGTAAATGAAATTGACCACGTTTGAATAAAGCGATAATTTGCGATTTAGCCTCTTGAGCAGTTTCTAGTGTTGGAAATCCAGTAGCCAAGTCGTCAATATATACTTGAGTTAGAAGAGCTTGTTTTGCCAGCGGATAAGAGTCTCCTTCGTCTTCTGCGAGTTGTCTCACAGTTCGACACGCGAGGTATGGAGATGACGCTAAACCATACGTGACCGTATTTAAACGATATTCTTTAAGGGGCTCGCTAGGCGAGTTACGCCAGAAAATACGTTGATAATCACGTTGGTCTGAAGACAAGACAATTTGGCGATACATTTGACGGGCATCCGCCATAAAAACGATATTAGGTTCCCTGAACCGTAAAAGTAGTTCCAAAATATTCGGCTGTAATTTTGGACCGATAAGTTGTGTATCATTCAAGGAACGCGAATGGAGATCCTTGGCGGAAGCGTCAAATACAACGCGTAGACGTGTGCTAGTTGAATGGGGGCGTAAGACGCAATGATGGGGGAGGTAGTATTTACCTTGTCCCATATCCTCAGACGGTACAAGTGACATATGACCGGATTCGAGGTAATCTGACATAAATTCAGAATACTGACTACGTAAATCAGGATCGCGAGATAATCTACGCTCGATAGCGTAAAATCGGCGCAAAGCTACTTCACGAGAGCCTTCAAAAGTAGGTTCCGTATCATTTTTGAAAGGAATCCTTACAATATAACGCCCTGTTTTATCACGTGAATTAGTAGAAATAAAGATTTGTTCACAGAGCGATTCCTCTGGACTCAATGAAGACGAACTCGGCAACGAATCAATTTCCCAAAAACGTTGAACAATTGAATTAAGATCGTTATCACTGCTGGGTATAGCAGATTGTTGAAGTAAAGAAGTCGATGATAAAGATGTCTTACCTAGAAGAAGCCACCCATAAATTGAATTAAATGCGGTAGGTTGATTATATCCTCCTTTAATGCGTTGGTTAAGAATAGATTCAACGAAGACATCTGCAGCCAATAAAAGATCGATGGGTCCAGGTATGTCGAATCCTGGATCGGCCAGCGTCAATGATTTTATATGTGACCACCCCGATGTGTTTAACTGAGCGATAGGTTGGTCGCCACATATTTTCTTGATCACGTGCATGTTTAATTTATAATAAACACGCGTACTCGTGCCTACTGAACAAGTGACATCACCAGAAATGGGTGCCATAGCTTCCCCGAGTCCACTGACTTTAGTATCAACCTTAGCTGGAGTAAATCCTAAACTCTTAACAGCAGATTCGGTAATGAAGTTGCTCTGACTCCCGGTGTCGAACAAGGCACGAAAAGATTGCATCTTGCCTGAAGCGTCCCTAACCTGAACAATAGCAGTAGCCAGCAAGACAGTAGTATTTAAATGAGACTTTGAGATCAAAGCCGAGACTGTTGGATTCGGTTCCTGCGGCTGAGGTCTCTCGCGATGAAGTAACGTGTGGTGTTTACGCTTGCATGTACGGCATGTAAATATTGATTTGCAATCTTTAAGTTGGTGGGATGACTTTAAACAATTATAACACCATTTTTTCTCATGAGCTACGTTGATACGTTCGTCCACCGATTTTTTAAGAAACGTGGGACAAGACGTTATTGAATGAGATTCATCACAATAAGCACATTTATACGGTTGTGTGGTTTGTTTAATATCAAGAGAAGCAGCAAGCACTGTAGCAGCGGGGGTGCGTCGAGATTGAGACGTCACAACTGCGGGCGCAGTCTGGTTCGATTTAAGTTTAGTAGTAGCGGTAAAGTGTGTGCCACGTATTAGAGCCTCTGACTTAGCACGCAAAAATGATTTCACTTGATCAAAGGATGGTATTTCTACATCGGAATATTTTTCTTCAAGACTTTGGCGTACCTCTGGGTCTATTTTAGATAAGATATGGTAAACCAAAACAAAGTCCCAATGTTGGACCGGGAAATCGAGTGTCTTTAAAATACATAAATTCTCTTCTAAAAGATCTAATGAAGTTTGGAATTTATTTGCATCATTATGTTTAAAATCTGTATTTAAAACTTCACGCCAACAAATAAAAGATAAGTTGCGTTTAGATTTGTAACGATTAACTAATGTTTGATATGCATCGTGATAATGGTCTTGAGTCTTAGGGAACGTTTTCACTACCGTTAATGCTTCACCACTAAGGGAAGAAACCAAGTAATGAAACTTTTCAGTGTCCGTAAGTGTAGTAGAATTATGTATTAAAGCGTTAAATGTATCATAGTACTCGGGCCATTGTTTGATGTTACCTGAGAAACTAGGAAGTACTATTTTTGGTAATCTAATATTAGATGAATAGTTTGCATTTTGCGATTGAGATGAGGGTGGAAATGATTTTGTTAAACTGTGATAAATTGATCCCACCTGATAGTACATATCATCAAAACGTTCTTGCATCTTGTTGTCAACATCTTCCGGGTCGTCTAAAATATCTAAAATAATTAAATGTGCATGTTCGAAATTGTGTGCAATGGTCTTTATGTCTCGATAATATGATAAAAACAAGTCGCGCTTGGATGAGTCACTCAACGCTACAGTGCCGATCTCTAAAGCTTTAACTAGCCGGTTGTAAGACATAGTACGCTTTCGACGTAATGATGGCAAGTCCTGTGCTGTATATTCCTCCACGTCGATAGACTTCGATTTAGATCCCTTTAACCTCCTAGTAGAATGTTTACTGAGCAGCGACATTATGAAATGTTAAATAAATGTGCGATTACACGTAAACAACAAAGATAAATTACTCAATAGAATGAATAGGCACAGCTAACCACACAAGTTTTGTTTGAATTTGCTATGACGCACGATACATGCGCGATCCAAAACTTTTGTGGAGCGGTGTACACGGTCGGCCGCTACCAAGAAATCGCCGCCGATTACGAATGCTCAACCGTCGCGTATGATGTGAAGATACCCACAATGTAAAAAAATTAAAACCAACTTTTAATAATTTTATAATTGAAATTAAAATATTTAGAATGGAATGGAAATGGTGAATTTAATATTGGTGGTAAGTAATTATCGTAAGCCGATGGAATTAGGCACCGATAGAAAAGTGATTGCCTAATTAGATCCCACAATAATTACGATAAACGTGTGTGACAATGGATAATTCCTGTTCGATGAGGGTACTCTTGGAACGATTGTGATTTTACGTAGGTTTAAACGGTTATTTTATTTCTATAAGAAATGTTAAATATAGCTCGGAATGCAGCCGGTAAACGTTTTTTTGTAATAGGTTTGTTCTGTATACCAAGTTATATGACGTTTCTAACCAGAAAATACCATCAACGTAATAAGAATAGGTGAAAGTTTCCCGGGTTTCGGCACCAAAACATGTAGCATGCGCACCAAAGCCGAAATAGCAGGGGTGGCGTTCTGCTACTAGGGAAGACAACGATGACGATTATAAAACGATGTTCAAAAACTCCACAGAATGTCAACAGCAAATACAGTGCATACACGTACCTTGGACTGCTACGACACACGTTGAGCCTTCCACCTTCGATGATTCCAAGGGCAGGAACACAGGAATTCCGGGATGCGAGTTTGAGAGTCACGCGCGAGTGAGAAAGATCGCGGTGATTTGTTCAGGATTCGGATAAGAGACGTTGAGCGCGAAAGGAGATGTTCTCACACACGGCTTTTGAAAAGTGAATGTCGTTGCTCCAACTTTTTACGAGTCACGGTACGCACCACAGACTATATAGGGTCTGCGTTTCGCTGTTGCAAACTGATGGAGCATTGAACATCGATTACTTGAATTTGGAGAATTACGTTTAGTTTGTATGATGACGGAACATAATATTTGTGTTAAATTTTAATTAGACAATAAAAATTTATGTATGCATTTATACCGCTATTTTATCGTCTTTTTAAAGTACGGACAATATTCTAATAAGTATAGTTCCCAGCCATTTATCCAATATTTTTTTGGTATCTATAGAAAACGGTAATTCAAAAAAATAGTGTAAGGACCATTAATAATGTTAATGTTCTGCTCATTTAAATTCATATTTAAGTTTACTAGATTTAAAAAATAACGTTTACTTACACACTGGCATGTGGTTTTTTCTTGGAGAAGTCACAGGCTAAGCCAAGATCAGATATTCTGACGTGACCGTGCTCGTCGAGGAGAATGTTCGCTGGCTTCAGATCTCTGTACACTATATGACGCTTGTGCATGTGTTCCAAACCTAGGGGAAGAAATATTATGTTATTAGTAGGTATAGCTATTATACGGCCTTTTTTTGTGAGGCGAAGATCTCTCGCCCAGGGTAGGCAGGGAGTGTCAGACTCTTACTGGCTAAAAACTACCCCGTTCCTTCTCCTGCTCTAGGCCAAAGACCCACGCTTACGGTGGCAGGAGATCAGATCTTTGGAATCCTCCACCTCCCAATATGTAAAAGGAATTAGCAAGAACCGTTTATATACTTTCTACGATTATTTAGACACCACTGACAAACGGTGAAGGAAAACATTGTGAGAAAACCTGGAGTTATAATTTCTAACTATAATTTTAAAATCGCCAATCCGCCTTGTGATTAATGCTCAAACCTCTAAGAAAACGTGTACGAAAAGGCCTTTGCTCAGCAGTGGGCACTTACAGGCTGATGTGATTTGAACATGTATTTCACACTACCATCCCCAAAGATTATTTTTAAAACATATTGTAAATTCATATTTAAAAATCACGACATTACATATTTTGTGTGTATAGATTTTATTAGTATCTGTGACTTAAATTGTGAGCATCCACACTATGATATTATGTAATGTATTACATCAGAAAAGAACGCTGTGGTTTTTCGTCGGTAAGCCGGTAAGAGTCAGATACTCGCCCCACTTAAGCGGAAGAAGGTGTAGGACGATACTTTAACTTCATTTTTTGTATACATTGGTAATAAAAAAATACTAGTTATGTCCTGTACCAGAAGAAGAGATTTGCAGTTTAATACCAATTACAGGATCTAAACCTTCTTCATAGAGCGACTAGTCCAGTATGCGACGTCACGTTAAATAACAATATTAATCAAACAGCTAATTAAAGTGAGTAGGTACTTAATTGCCATTAATACAGGTTACAGGATGTTGTTTACATCCGAGTTTATTTAATTAATTTAAATATGACATTAGGTACAATCATATCATTCTATGGTTGTTTTTGTAGACTGGACATGTTAATTTGTAGACGTCAACGGGCAATGTTTTGAGAAAGGACATCCAATAATAAATATTTCTTCAATGGTCGTTGTACACATTTCAGTTTCATTAAGCAATACTGCTATAAAAGTGACTAGTTTTTGCTCGCTGCTGTCTCCCTATTTGTTGTAGTTTTTTTTTTTTTATATTCCATAGTCTTCTTCGATAAATAGACTATCTTACACCGAAAGAATTGTTCAAGTAACCATGGAGTTTCTTGCTCGTTCTTCTCCATCGGAATCTACACTTTGGAACGAGCAAATAGCTTCAGTAAGAGGACTGACCGACAGACTGACACTATATCTTCAAAATTTTGTATGACGTAGGTCTAAATGGAATAAATGATTTTTGATTTTTAAATCGAATCAGCATTTCCAAAGTGTTTAGCTTTATAATATCCATACATGTTGTTCTCGTCAAAAACACTAATAAAAATATGTCTGACGACAGATTTACAACTGGATTGGTGACATACATTATTTAATTTAATTGCAGACTACATCTTTGCATATTGCCTCTAATATATTTTTATACTGTGGATATTGCACAGATTATTGTATATTAGTCCTTGTGTTGTGACTCACGATGATGTATGGAGGCAATAACAATATTTACAAGTGTCTTCGGCCGGTTTCGCTCGCGTGGCCTTCAAACATTGTAATGTTCGCAATTGAATCTGAATATTTGACTGCCTTGTGGATCAAGTGGGAGCGTGATTGAGGGGAATGGGGCTGTGATTCGATCCGCGATTGACGCAAAGTGTTAAATGAGTTTATTGGTATATTAGTGATTGAACGTGAGCTCAAATTATGTCCGCTAAATTTTATAACAGTACCTGGATGACCGCTCTTTACTCGGTTTATTTTTTAACAATTTCTGTAAATGAATCCTAGCTTAAACGTTTTATCGCCCCCGAAAAGCTCTGTAACTGCCGGAAATTTTATTTTATGAATATGGTTAGAAATGTTTACGAGATTTAGATTATGTATATTTATGTAAACAAAAATTGCTCGTTTCTTATATAACAAGGTGTATTCCAGTAATTAATTTATTTTACTAAAAACTGTTGGTAAGCGATTAGCACCAATCTTGGGATAGAAGTGCGTTTAGACATTTTTAAAATCTAAAATCTGGTGACATAGGCCGTAGTCTACGGAAGAATTTTACAATGGCATTCCACCAAAAATAAAATAAATAAATGATATACCCACAATAACTCTTCTACGGAAAACAACATAGTGTTATTAATACTATACATTTGAATATGAGATGATAATTCACTTTACTCAGAGGATATGGAGTAGGAAACATATTTTATAACAGTCCATTGCAATGGTATTAGAGAATTAGGTCACACGTTGATCGGATTATCGCATCGGAAAGAGTGGCGGATATTTCTGAATGGAATGGAACTATTGTAATAGTGATAACATTTTCATTGTGTAACTAAACAATAAAAATCTTGTAGGTATAATTGTAGATATTTTCTGCCTCGTTTGTCTCGTAAACAAGGAGTTTTGCTTGCAAGGAGAATGTTTTTCTAGCCAGAGTGTGAATATGTGCTATAAACCTGGATTTCAAGACGTCAACTAACCACTGGAACCACAACCTACTCGTTCAGGATATAAAGACCAATTTTTGTGACAAGGTTTTAAATTATTATTACCATGGAATACAAAACTGTGTTCAGTGTGTAAAAAATAATAACAGATACGTAGACCCCATTATAAGTTCATTAGAATTTCAACAAAAGTGGTAGGATACCTATACTAATATATTCAATATTATAAAGCCGAAGAGTTTGTTTGTACGAGCTAATCTCAGGAACTCCTGGTTCGAATTGAAAAATTCTTTTTGTGTTTAATAAACCATTTACTGAGGTTTAAGGCTATAAAACATCACGTTACGATCTGTAGGAGGCAGCCAGCGGGTGAAACTGCGCAAGGATGGCTTAGTTATAATAAAAATGTCAAGCCTTACCTAATATAACTTCAGCAGCGTAAAACTTCATCTCGGCCTCGTTGAAGACGCCATGTTGTGACAAATGATAATGCAGGTCCCCGCCGTTCATCAGGTCCAGGATAAAACAGAGCTTGTCCGGCGTGTGGAATGCGTACGTCATGCACACGATGAATGGGCAGTCCACCTGAATACAGGGATAACATATTCATTAATATTTATTATATAATTAATTGTAAAACTATTATTATTAGGTTGTAGGGAAATACATGAAAGCGATCAATACGTAATAATCAAAAATAGTGTTTCTGGTTTTAATTTGAGAGTCTTTTTGACACCTATATGACATATTACCTTGCTCAAACTGGGTGCCAACTGAAAATCAGTGTAGGGCGCTCATATGCCCAGCTTTTGCTCTGTTGCTGACGCATTCGGATTGGGCAACGTGTGCCAACCCTGAGTTGCTTTAACATTATTACTAGTCTCTTTTACTGTCTCTTTTTCTGTCAATTATTTTGATGAATTTTGTTTTTGTTTTTTCTGTTTTATTAACCGACTTCCAAAAAGGAGGATGGTTCTCAATTCGAGCGTATATATGCTTTTCTTGTTTTTTATATTGTATTTTTTTTTCCTGGTTCTCATGACCGATGCCGAATAAACGCATTTTCTTTCTTTTTTTCAAACATAATTAAGCTCTTTTTATTTCATTGAATTTTTTTATTAATAAGTAATATACACATATTACGTTTACCTAATAATATCTAGAATTATAATTTTCACTCCCACGAAGCGAAGTTAGATTATGTTGCAAGTCGCGGGTGGAGTACTGAGAAATGTATCTAATTGTATATACATTCATATAACTATATCATTATTCACAATAACATAATAAGAGGTCAATCAGAAACATTGGAATGCCAATTGGTACGACACTGGTACTAGTACTGAATGACTGTACGGTGGGCCCGGTGACTGGGTAACAAGCAGGCTGCCGCGAACCGTGTAAGTAGCGGGTTACATTTCCGTAGAAAAACTGTGTGATCCACAAAATGTTGTTTCATGACATGTGTATGTTTGTAAATGCACCTCCACCACACATCACATCATCACATCATCAGCCTATAAGTGCACACTGCTAAGCAAATGCGTCTCGTCACATGGAAATGGTTTGAGCATTAATGATCACGCTTACTCAAAGCGGATTGGCGATTTCAAACTTAGAAATTAAAGTCCAAGTTTCCTCACGATGTTTTCCTTCACCGTCGCATTCACGTTGAATGCACCTACTTGTGCTGCCGGTCTCTTGGTAGTTAAGGATTTGAGGGTTTGGGAGGATTGGACTCCGGTAATCTCATTCACATGGCCAAACACAATGCTATCATTCGCGCCGTTATTTTGTGAGCCCTCTCTCCTCCCGACTCCGAATGAGTCGACCTATTTGTGGAAACATGGCTCTCCAGCACTTAAACATTCTTTGCACTTAGCGCTCATTAGTATAGGATTCAAGGGTCTAATCCAATTTGCACTCATTTTGCAGTTTAGGATCGCAAAAATTACTAATACTGTGCCAAACAGATTATATCCGATGAGGTAATCTATACTTATAATCGTATACGCTGCATCGAAATGCCTTTTTTTATGAGGGGAAAATCATCAAATGACTTCCAAGTAACAGTTTGATACACACCTTCTTTTGTTTTAAGCAACGGTAAATGGTGAAACATTTTCAGGTGTTCTGACTGAAATACATCGATTTCAGCAGGTACAAGTATATAATTATTTTCATACAGTCATATAAATTCATTATATACTTGTACATGCTCAAATGATTTCATTATGGAAAAACATTAGATGGTTTAATTTTCAGAAACAAAAATTAAGCAAATACTTGAGTAGAACCAACAGAAGTTGAGAGACAATTTTATTTCTCATACGAATTTCAAATAGTAAAAGGTTATGTATGCACTTCTCTGACTGTGAGATAGTCTGTATGGTTACCAAGTTTCATTAAATTCGATTCAGTAGTTGCCCGTACTGCTTGTGAATGCTCTAAATCTAATTAACATGTACACTACATGCATCGGCATGAAACGTTGACTGCTGTAATGGGAAATAGGCATAATCATTTGGAGGCTGGCGATAAATATAACTTTAGTGTTAGTCATACGGAATGTAAAATAGCATTTAAAGCTATGAACCACTGTGGAAATGTGGCATTTTTATTGCAGATAGAATTACATATTTAAGTAAGTATGTATACATATTACGATAAATGCAATCCTTTGTTTATTCGGGCCGGTGCACCCGTGGTTCTGCGGTTTCAACCTACAGAATCGTATTGATCACAGCGGCAGCGAAAAATGGGGCTAGAAAACATTTTCGTTCTCTACAAAATGATTTATTAACAAAACAACAACTCGGTCACCAGTGAGTAGGTAGGTACAAATATTTGTATGAATATATTTTGCCCCACATGCTTTAGATAACGCAGGATCAACTATATCTTCTGACTTATATTATAATCCTGGAAGAAACCCAAAAAAGTTGAAGAAATTTGTGGTCCATTTCCACAAGTTCAACAAGAGATAACGAACACGTTTCTTAGCATTATAGCGAAACAGGACGAGACAAGGCGTTTCCGAAGATAACCGTGTTCCGAAGAACTCCGAAAGCGTTCATATGACACGGACAGACGAAGCGGCGCCGTGCCGACACCAGACGAACGCTCATAAATGATAAACTAACCCGTATAAAGTAACATTACCGTGTGGTCTCGCCGAACAGACCACCCGTCACTTACCGCGACTGACGTAAGAGCCGAGTAGGGATTATATCTGGAAGATGAATGGCGAGCAGCGTCCATGTACTTTTAATACAGCGAACACTAACGCTGCCAAACATCCGTCTCTCATACTAATCTCTACAAACTTGTGATTATGACGTTCACTCTTGATGATGACATTGAAAACGGAAAGGGGCGTGTTCGATTCTCAATATGTAATTATATCTGAGTGAGTGAATAACAAAGCGTTCACAGTGCGCCGCCTTTTCCACGTGAACGCCATTTCGTTCGCTTATGTACATTCATTGGCTGTTCAAAACATACTTTGTATACAGAGTGAAATAAACGAATACATTTAAGAAACATCAAATGTTTTACTCGTATCTTTTATCATATATTGTCGTACAAAAGAAACATAAAGAAGTCTACACACATTAAATGATGCACACGTAGTTAAACCAGCCATTGTATTAATACTAAATCTCTTTTCGTTTACAACTAAGAAGGTATCGGAGATGAACATTGGACATATATGATCGAACATCGATAAAATTTGTCATCCAGTTCGGACCGTCCCGTCCTATAAACCAGAGTTTGCTTACTCGTAAACATAAAATAAAAACGTTTTATTACCGCACAGCATAAAGTTTTAAAACAAGGTCACAGTAAAAGAAAATTCATGTCGAAAGTTGACTACATATAAATGTTGTAACAGAACGACTGACAGTTTCTCGTTTTATATAAACTTTGCTTCGGAAACCGACGGCCTTGTTATAAACTTTGGGGAAGCCTTTTAGGTCACGAAGAATAAAATTGTACACATGTTACATAAGGTATGTGTTACATACATACAAACTCAACCTGAATATCAAATGGAAAATACTAATCGTCGGGATGAAACGACGAAACAAAATGCAGCGGAAGCAGATTGTACTACGACGACAAATTGAGGGCGATCCAATTCGTTTCAGTCCAATTGGCTGGATATCGTTTATGTTCCCGATACCATATCACACATATAGCGCAGCTATATCACTGCTCTATTGCACCAAATCAAAGCAGTTTGCAATCGATAAACAATCCGATGTTATAGTCATTGATATCGCTGTGCTTAACGTAAATTATGCGCATATTTGATTATCTGATACTTATGCTCCTAACGAAGAGGCTCCAGTACCACTAAAAGCAATGTAACGGCACTAACAGTATAATGTAATGCCACTTCAAGCAATAACCCATTTGCGACAATTTACTGCACTTTCTTTTATTTCCAAATCAATAGTTTCAATAATATTGTCTCCAGTTTTATTCCTCCTATTATGTTCAAGGAGCCTCGAGCTCTGGAAAATATCTTTAAAACATCTTCGACAAACGTGCGGCAATATAGTGCAGAGGTTTAAAACTTCAGCATTGTTCTGGAAAGCATCTTAATTTTTGTCTGAATATGAGGGCCACTGAATATTTATGTTTTTAAACACATTTATGTATATGCCTAAAGCTTTATTCTTAAAGCCAATGATGGCAAATATAGTACCTGCAATAGGATGGTTACATCTAGAATTTCCCAGAGTTTGCGCAAAGCTACTCTGGAGGTACTGAATTATTTTTTACGTGACGTTGAAAACTGTTTCTCGAAAACGAAATACAACAACACTACAAATAATATATATTTATTACACAGTTCGGATGTCCGCTTTACGAGTACTTACGTCTAGTCGAAAAAGTTATTTTCTTCATACAAAGTAGACGTACACGAGTCAAGTTCAATTTGTAGAAGAGCGTAAACTCGTCGGCTGATAAAACCGGCGGTCTCTTCAAATAAGAATGTGTACTTTGCCATGTTACTGTATGTTGCCCTTGTTTGTAATGATATTTCGTGCCGGCATGAATTACAAACACTATTTGCATTTCTACGTGTAAGCATGTGGAACAGGCTAGAGCGCTAGAATACTATATAACATCAAATATGGTGTATTTTGTTTAGCCTCCATTGACAAATTATAGTATATCTACGTAATTTTTTCCTTAATAACAGGGTCATCATCAACTACACACGAACTCATAAACTGTTAGCACCATCACACTATATTGTTTGGATATCTGTAGCATTAACATTTAAATCATAATTAAGTCTCACATTTATATCGGAAATACTGCAATAACAAGTATATACTAGGCTGGGTACATGTCGGGCTTCTTCAAAAATTCCGCATGCGTCAATGCACACAATCATAGTTAGGACTGAGTATCTGTTTAGGTGTACATAACATAATAATAGGTATATGTGTCCAGATCTTAACATAGATTAAGGTTAGTCGCAGTAACAATATATACTACTTATTCAAATATTATAATCAGCAAATCAGGAGGATCCCTTCTGCAAGATACGCAAACTGATAATGCAC